AAAGAGTCACAGGACATCTGAAAAACTAGCACTTCATCGGTAACCTAAATAAACAAACTTGCAAACATTTCCATCAATCAAAGCCCTGTCTTCGGATTTTTTACTTTCAGAATTTGAGGTTTTTCATGCATTGATTTTAGTCTCCTGGGCACACTAACTGAGTTTCAAAATGCATGCGTGAGCAAATCCTTAATGGTCAGCAATCAACAGAAGGCAAACTGCTCCTTTACTAGGCAGAAACCTTTAGCACTTTCCCAGTAAGATGCCATTGCTGTAAAAAAAAAAAAATTAATAGAGTACAAAGATCTTGTTTACTACACTGCACTGTATGGTTTTCTGAGGGCACTTCATATCAATCAGTCACCACACTCCGTTATAGTGAGTCATCCAGGTAAAGGCACATATGTTTAAAAAAAAAATAGTGGTAGTATTTAAGGAATTCAAATAACCACTCTTCAGACAGTCTGTCTACAGACACCCCTTGCAGGCAAGTTTGAAAGGAAGTGTAAAATTTTGCCTCTGAGTAGCTATAAAAAACAAACTTCAGTGATGAGTAACATATTTGACTTTAACAGTAATATATTAACAAGCCACTATGTTAAGACATCATGGCTGTTAGTGATAAATTTGTGCCATTATCCCAAGAAAGAGACGTGACAGTGCGCGCTTACTCACCCTTACAAGGCTTGGAGCGATACATGAGCATGGTATCTTGACATTCTTGAGGCACTTTTCATGAGACATGAAGTTGCAAACTGTGGAACAAAAAAAAGAAAAATAAGGGACATTTTTGTTAAAAACCAAAGAGCCATACATAACGAAATGCACTTAGAAACGGATTTTTTTTTTTTTAAAGTCACAATTAGCTCTCCCCTAGCTTTGCATACGTAGGTGGCTGTCACGTATCCTGCAGGGTGTGAACTGCAACGGGTTTTGTTACTGAAGTGTTAGTGACAGAAAAGTTAGGAAGAAAGGTTATCTCTGAGGGAGTTACCTACAGCAAGTCATTTCCCCCTTCTCTCCGTAAGCACCAAATGGGATTTTAACATTCAGAAGAGATTTTAAAGTAACTGTCTACAGTCAGAAACAGCTCTTTGGTACGGCCAAAGTAGGTGCACATGCTTGAAAGTGAATTCCTCTGCAAGCTACTACACATGACACAAATCAAGGGGAGAAAAGGCAGTTTTGTTACACATCAAGCGCAACAGAGGAAAGAGATGAAACCAGAAGACACTGGTTACGCATAGTTTTGGAAGTCAAGGGCACTTAATTGTTTTTCTGCAGTGGGAGCAATAGGTAAGAATCCCACGCAAGTTTTACAAAACACACCTTAAAGCAAGATTGTGCTCGACAGTTATTTTTCGCAGGGGCAGTATTTTCCAGTTCATTACTGCGAATGTACATGATGTTACGCTGTCCAAAGAAAACAGAGCATTCCTTATGCCATTCCTACTACCTTGCATTAATTAGAAATTAATAAGACACGCAGCTACGGCTTTAGAGCTCTCCATGCCTCAGCAGCACTAAACAGGCATTTTCAGGCATCTCCGTATCTCATGTGAAAGTACAAACCATTCCAAGTGTGTGTGGCAGAAAATTATTTGTGATTAGCAACTGTAACCGTACACAGGAAATGTTCACACATCTCTGCTGTTCAGACGCACGCTGTAACATTTCCTAAGTTTCACCAGCAATTGGAAAAAACAACCCACTTCCAGTTTCCCATCTGCAATCCACGAGCTGTATTTAAGCTGCCGTTTCTGATAATATGTGCTAGTGCCACCAAAAGCAGATAATATTCCTCTCTTCCCCAGCTCATTTCTTTGTCATTTCACAACACCACTTCTCTCACGCCAGCATAAGGATTTAAATTCAGCTTCGTTTCTCTACGTTTTATGTCAGCCTGCACTAAGTAGCCTTTCCATTTCTGTGGCACAAAAAGAGGGACGGCTCCTTTCACATCCGTCTCTTCTCACTGCGTTCGGCAGGCTGAGGTTTGCTTCTCATTAGTCGGCAAGTCAAAACAAAACAAAACGCAGGGCAAGTCACTAGTGCGTACAAACGCGTTATTCATCGTCCACGGCAGGACACAAGAGCAGCTACTACACCGATGAGAGAGTCGAAACACGAGACTTCTGTCCCAGCGCTATAAAGCACTGCATGCACCTTCATGGTTGACAGTATTCCCAACTGTTCCCGACTAAATGGGGCAGATAAGGAGTAGGAACAGTCACTAAGGGGACAATAAAGCAAATCCCCAAAGGTGAAAATGCGGATACCCAACACATTTGAAAGTTCTCCCTGTGACAGAATGAGCATATACTGATTTCATCCAGTATGTCAACACAAAGGAAATTGAATAGAACAAAGTGATTGCCCAGGCAGAGGACAACGTCCCTCCTGACCCCCAAAAAAACAAGCAAACAAAAAACCCAGTAAGATCTCACACACAGAGCTGGTGAATGTCGATCACCTTTATGCATGTTATCACAACACGGATGTAGATGGACGTAACCCAACCACTCTCCAGCTCCCTGCAACATTTCAGCTCATGCTTTCACGAGAGTCAAGTGGTTGCTGGGAGAACAGGGTCTGCAGGGGCTGAGCTGGAAAAGCCACCTGCTGAGCTAACAACTAGCCTGGCATTTAAGCACGTGTTCTCCAGCACTATTAGAACACGCATGCCCCAGCTGCTCGTTTAGGTGGCCTCTTCATTATTTCACAGGCGGTACCCAAAGCCCAGCCAAACCTGCTCCGGTCAGGGGAACCGACTTCTGCATGCAGAAGCACAGAGGCAGATCGTCCTAAGTCATGAAAATACCCATGAAAGGCAACAATGCCAAACTTTAAACATAGACAGGCCTCCACCAAGAGCGTCATTAAGGAGCCACTCAGTCAAAGAAAGCAACCTCAGTGGCTACTGAAATTGGGCTGAATGGTAGCATTGTCCTTCACTTTTCTGCCTCAGAGGCAGACAGATCACAAGGGAAGAACAGGAGCAAGGCACTGGAAATTTTTCCCAGAATTTTTATGATCTCCAAGACATTCCTACACAGAGAGGAAGCCGTGGCCAACAGAGGACAGGCCGGAAGACGAGCATCTCCAAACGGCTACCAGCTTTATTTTAAGGGCACACGTTACCACTCAACACACAAGTTAACCAAGCCCTAAACAAGCATCTTGGGAATTCAGAGGAGAATACTCAGCCAAGCCAGCCTGCAGAAATGACCCTCCTTCCAAGGGTACGGGTCTTTGGAGACGTTCTGCATTTATCCAGACAACTCAGGTCACTACACAACACTACTCAGTTTTCTCCTCATAGCAACTGGGGCAGCCAAATACGGTCCTGCATAAAGACGGCATCTCATGGTTGGGCTTAGGATACAAGGCAGGGCAGAGAAAAATATACTAAAGAACAATTTGAGTAGGCAACTTTGGACCAACAGTGAAATGGAAAGGTGAACAAGGGTTTTAATTATTTAACTGAGTACATAAAGACAAAGACAACGCTCAGAAATTAACGAATTCCCTAAAATTTCAAAGGAAGGATTAAAGCATTTCTACAGAATCAAATTAAGGAATATCAAGATACAAACATAGGAGGACAGCAGTGCCTAAACACAGAGTCTTAACATTTTTCACGGAAGATTTGCATAATTTTTTCGGCGGTACTCACACCCCTCCACACTGCTTGTCACATGCCTCAAATTCAGCAGTGAGGATTGCACTCTGGCTAAATGTCTTTTAACTCTCCCACAAAATTTCTCACGGGTTGAGCTAGCTCTCGCAAGTCATGGTTTTGTTTTTGTTTTCCACACTCCCAAGACAACAAATAAACGGCAGCAAGTGAAAAAACTGAAACATGAGCAGTATTTGGGGGGGAAAAAAAAGTCCTAAATCTGTGTTAGTACTCCCAGATCAGCAACACATGTAAGCCTGGAAACTGTGAAAGCCAGGAGGGGAGGGATGGTATTTTTAAGGGATGATATTTGATCAGGGAAAACAAAACAGAAGATGCTGTGTGAAGTTTCAGAAGATGGAATGCAAAATTCTGAGAAAACAACATTTAAAAGAAAAGGAAGAGGACAGACTGTTCTTTCTATTTATAGTAAGAGGCTTTTCATCCTACGTTTCAACTCTGTTACAAGCTACAGCAAGACACATCTATGGATTGCCTAAGTCAAAACAAGGCAATTTCAAATACGACTTTCAGATATCATAGACAAAACTGATAGTTCCAAGTCAAGCTTGAAAGACTGGAGTGTTAAGTTCATCCTTCAGCTAAGCATTTTAAGCATTATCAGAAGTACCTAACAGCATGGACGGAGAGACAAAAACTTGGGATATATCTGAAGAAAAGAACGTCCCTAAGCTTCAAACAGTGCATCAAATGCAAGGTACCTACATTCATGTTTAAGGTGCATGAAGCTATACAACATTTAGGGGAACGAATACATGTGATTTTCCAGAGAGGCTGAAAGAATCCAAGAGGTTGCTTATTGGCAGGTTTAGGGGACATGATATCATCTCTCTGAGCCATAACTGTACATTCAGGTATACAGCAAATTGACGTTTGACAACTTTCCCTTGTGTCTCCCCCTCCCAAAAATAAAATAATGACTCCAATCTGATGAAAAAGCAGATACTCCCAATGCCAAACAGATGGCCAGTCAGCACCACCGAAGCACCTGTATATTCCCTCTCTGTCCACATCAAGGATGAGACAATTTATCAATTTCATTTATAAATTTATTTTTTCATTTGCTAAACTCTTAGGATCACAGCCACCAAGTTTGCTCTCCAAGAGGATCAAAAAAGTTAATGCAAAGACCAAAACGGATTTCATCTTCTCCTTGATGTGTCCCATTTAACATAAGAATCACTATAGACCTTTTCACAGGTGTGTTCTTAGCCCCAGGGCATTTCTTTCACTTCAGCAGGCCCTCTGCTGTTTTGAGACTCCTAAAAACACGTGCAAGATAAACTGAAATTCCTCCTCCCGATATCACATACTCATATGGTTTCCTGAACCTGGGCGTAGCTAAACATTTCCCTGACCAGATTTGCCCTAGCAGCCCCTCTTCCACTCTGCCTCAGGTTCTTACACCCCAACTAACATGCACCAGTATCACAAGTGGCAATAAGTCACTTCTTCCAACAATTACCTCTTGCTCTCTTTGCTCCAGGGTAGCGCAACCCATGCTTTTGGAGGAGATGGTCTGCTATTAACACAGCCACCCTTCTCATGGCAACAGGTCAAGCTGAGGACTCTCAAAGAGCAAGCTCGTGCCCCTGAAGTTCCTGCAAGTTCCCGCAGGAGAGAACTCCCTCGATTCACACCTTACGTCCTGCAGCAGACTCGCAGCAAATTTCACTAACTCCCAAGAAACAACACAAAGTCCTGACCAATGGCTTGTCACAGACCCAGCAACTGTGGAAATTTAATCTCCCAACATGAAGTTACAACAACACTACTCTCCTTAATCTGCCTGAATAACTCGCTGAATAATAATTTAACTTCATTCTGCACAACTTCATTCTGCACATCTGTGCCGTAACTAAACTGCATTTTGCTCACCTGCAAAAAGTGCAACTTTCAGCAAGCTGCCATCAAGTTTTCTTCTAACAAAGGTCATAGATTACTGAATGACCTCGTTAACTAACTTTACTATTCTTATTTTTAAAACAAATCATTAGCTCACCCACTAAATCCAGTAATACAATAGTTTTCCCAGCAGTGTACACTAATTTTTTC